GTAATACCCTACGTCCTGCTTGATTGTTCTTGATGATATGAGTATTACAAGAGTTGATCTACTACGAGATCGTAGAGGCTAAACCCTAGAAGCTAGCCTATGGTATGACTGTATGTTGTCCTACGGACTAAACCCTCCGGTTTATATAGACACCGGAGGGGGCTAGGGTTACATAGAGTCGGTTAGAAGGGAGGAGATCTACATATCCGGATTGCCTAGCTTGCCCTCCACGCCAAGGAGAGTCCCATCCGGACACAGGACGAAGTCTTCAATCTTGTATCTTCATAGTCCAACAGTCCGGCCAAAGGATATAGTCCGGCTGTCCGGAGACCCCCTAATCCAGGACTCCCTCAACGCACCATGCTGGTATGAGATAGTCATTGGTTGATTTTTAGAATGCTCTTTGCACTTCACTTATATCTTTTGAGTATGGCTTTATAATGCTTCATGAGCTTCACTTATATCATTTGAAGTTTGGATTGCCTGTTTCTCTACATATAGAAAACTGTCATTTGTAGAATGGTCTTTTGCTTCACTTATATTTGTATTTTGTAGAAAGAATCAAACTCTCTTGCTTCACTTATATCTATTTAGAGAGTCAGCGGGAATTGGTCATTCACATGGTTAGTCATAAAATCTACATAAAACTTGTAGATCACTGAATATGATATGTTTGATTCCTCGCAATAGTTTTGTGATAGAGGTAATAATATGTGGGAGGTACTAGTGAATTATTGTGTTTAGTAAAAATATTGGTGTTAAGGTTTGTAATTCCTGAAGCATGCACGTATAGTCTCTCATTAGGCTATGAAGTTGGAGCATGATTTATTATTGATTGTATTCCTTTGCGTGGAGGTCGGGCTCCACTAGGCACCAGGTCGCAGTCGCGCGGTGATGCCTAGTGGCACACCGTAAGTCGGTTGGGGCTCTTCTTCGGCCACAAGGAAGCTTATATATGGGAAAAATCATGTTAAAATTTCAGCGCAATCGGAGTTACGGATCTCCGGATATTTAAGAAACGGTTTTCGGCCAGAAAACAGGGAACGCGAAATAGAATAGAACACAGAGAGAGATCCAATCTAGGAGGGGCTCCCGTCCCTCCGGCGCCATGGCAGCCATGGACCAGAGGAGGAACTCTCCTCCCATCTAGGGGGCAAGGAAGAATAAGAAGGAGGGGGCTCTCTCCCCCTCTCTCCCGGTGGCACCGGAACGCTGTCGGGGCAATTATCGTGACGGCGATCTACACCAACAACTTCGCCGCCATCATCACCAACTCTCTCCCCCTTTATGCAGTGGTGTAACACCTCTTCTCTCTGCTGTAATCTCTACTTAAACATGGTGCTTAATGCTATATATTATTTTCCAACGATGTATGGCCATCCTATGATGTTTGAGTAGATTTCTTTTGTCCTATGAATTGGTTGATGATCGTATTGGTTTGAGTTGTATATTTTATTTTGGTGTTGTCCTATGGTGCCCTTCGTGTCTCGCAAGCGTGAGGGATTCCCGATGTAGGGTGTTGCAATATGTTCATGATTCTCTTATGGTGGGTGGCAAGAGTGACAGAAGCTTATACCCGAGTATGGGGGTTGTTGCATATGGGATAAAGAGTACTTGATTACCTTAATGATCTTTGGTAGTTGCAGATACTTGCTAGAGTTCCAATCGTAAGTGCATATGATCCAAGTACGAAGAGTATGTTAGCTCATGCCTCTCCCTCATATAAAATTGCAATAATGATTACAGGTCTAGTTATCGATTGCTTAGGGACAAAATACTTCTCTTGTGTTATAAAAATCTTTCTACTAAACAACTAACTATTATTATCTCGCAAAGTACTCCTAGTTTTATTCTTGCAAAGTAGTTCTAGCATCACACCTACAAAATAGTTTCATACCTGTTCTAGGTAAAGCGAATGTTAAGTGTGCCTAGAGTTGTATCGGTGGTCGATAGAACTTGAAGAGAATATAAATCCTACCTTTATCTCCTCATTGGGTTCGACACTCTTATTTATCGAAAAGGCTACAATTGGTCTCCTACACTTGTGGGTTATCAACAGTCATGGAAAAAACTAGGAAACCGGGGTGTGTCGCGCCCATCGCGATGGAAAAGTTCTCGGGACCTCTCTCGCACGAACCGCTTTCCTCATGCTGTTGGGCCACTACTCCTCTACCCCTACGGAAGAGGCGTAGCACCACGCCCCGCCTGCACGATGGAAACATTCTCGGGTCCTATCCCGCACGAACCACTTCCCTCCGACCGCCAGGCCCCCGCTTCTCTTCCATGCAGTAGAGCTATAGTAGAGCGTCACGTCCCCTGCGATGAAAAAGCTCTCAGGACCATACCCGTACGAGCCGCTTTCCAAGCGCTATGGCCTTAGCATTCGCCCCCGAGGTCTCGGGAAGCCTCTCTGCTATATCGTAAAGATCCTCTCGGGAATCATGAGTCCCGGGGATATCGCTCATGATCCCTCCTCTCCTTTATGTTACACGCATCAGCAGTCGCAGTGCAGTACAACGGGAATCGTTCCCAGGATGGGCGCGCGCAGAGCCTTTTCCCGTCCGCAGTCATCTACAGTAGCCACGAGCGGTCCCCTCCCTGTACGTTGCTACAAGGTCGGTACCTTGGCACTGACCGCCCTGTATGAGGGAAGAAGCAGGAGAATATCTGCGGTGCAATACGCTGCCTTGGGAACCATCATCACAAGCTCGTACGTGTGTGGCGCAGACGACCATACTTCATCGATACAGGCTAGAGCCAACCCATTCAATGCAATATTCAGCCAATGAGGGCCTTCGTGAGGGGCCCTGTGAGGCAGTATAAGTAGGGAAGGGTTGTGGCCTCAAAGGGAGGTCGAACTCATTCACAACACAAGTCACACATTGTACCAACTATCATATGAAATAAAGAGCAGTGCGGGAGTAGGGTATTACACCAACATGGTGGCCTGAACCTGGGTATTCCCTATTTGTTCTTCTCTCTGTTCTTCCATCTTCAATCAACTATGACCTAGGAAGCTAGACGCGTTCAGTCCCTGGTCGAACTCACAAAGGGTTGCAGCTAACAACCCAATGTCCGGTTCTTAGACCCCGACAGTTGCCGAATTAGCTCTACCAGACTCTATTTGCCCCGACAGTGACACTTTACTCCATTAGCAGAGAGCTAGATAGCTAGCTCCGGAAGTAACCAAAGAGAATTTCTTGAAGGCGCAAGAGAGAATGAAACATTATGCTTATAAGAAAAGGAAAGATAGAGAGTTCTTGGTGGGAGACATGGTTTACTTAAAGTTACAACCATACAGACATACATCCTTGAGCTTACACATGTTTCTGAAACTGCATTCCAAGTTCTATGGCCCTTTCAGAGTTCTAGAAAAGGTTGGTAACACGGCATAGAACTTTTACTTCCAGAGGGGTGTCAATTGCATCATACCCTCCATGTTAGTCAAGTCAAGAAACACATTGGCTCTCATGTCATTCCTACAAGATACCTTCCTTTGGTGGATGCAAATGGACTCATCAAAATGGAGTCTGGCTGTAGGGGCAACACCAGCATTCCAGTTGTGCACTAGTTATTCAAATGGGTGAACATGCATGTCAAAACAACTACTTGGGAAGATTCGGCCTTCATTCAAAAGGTTTTTTGTTTCATGCTTGAGGACAAAATCGGTTTCATTTTGGGGGTGTTGTCAGGCTCCATCAATGTTAACTGAAGAACTACACACTCCTCACCTATTTCTACTTGTCGGATGACTCTCCGGCCGTTGACTCCTATCCAACAGCTCACCCATGAAGATGCCCCTGTGAGCTGCTATTGCCCCTCGATTCTTCATCGAACGGTTGCCCGCGGCTCCCGCGTCGTTGTTTGTAACTGGGTTGTCCCCTCCCCCCCCCCACCCCCGCCCTTCACAAGTTATAAACCCTAGAACTCGATCGTCAAATTATCTTTGAAAGTCTAAATAGAAGTGCTTAATTCAGTCTTCAATAGTCTGGATCCTGGCACTTACAGGATTCGCCAACGTATTCTATGGCCGATGGGCGGCCAGTCAAAGCCTGGATGCTCCTCCCTTTCCTCTCGACAGTTCCTATAGGGAGGCAACGCAAGATCGGCTTGGAGTCCATCCATCCTTTCTCCAACGAGAGACGGTGCAATGGTGCAACCGGCGTGAATCTGAGCAGGAGTTGCTTTTTGGACCTGATTGCAATCTTATATCTAGAGTTAGGGTCCTCCTTGCAAGTTTCAAGAACCAGTCCATAAATTTCTATTTTCTTGAGTCCTGTAGTGAGCTTTGTAGCTTCACCGCTATGAATTAATGGAGAGCTCTATGAGCCCTTCGAGACTTTTCAAGAAAAAATGGTGTGCTGTTGGTGCTTTTTGTAGTAACGAAATTGACAATTTTTTGTTGGCCAAGTCTGATCTTATCCGGCATTTCAGATGCCGGCGCTTGCTCTAACATGATTCAATAGCAAAAAGTATGCAATCTAAGAGCAAATACAGCAGTTATATAACAGTTTGGGGTTGTTCCAACCAGATCTCTTGTAAATAAATAATGAAAATTTCAATAGCAGTTGAATTAATCTTTTCAAAGGGTGGGGAATAGCC